GTGGGCCACGATGCCGAGACAGCTGCTCGGGAGGTCTTCGCCACGCCGCGGGGCTGGAAGCGCCAGAGGCATCGGTTTGTGGTGCACACGGACGCTGCCGACACACTGCCAGGTACCACCAATCCCCCTCCCCCCGCCGGCCCCTGTGCCACGGTGCCCTGCTGACTGCTCCCCCCAATACAGGGCTGGCCCACGTGCACAAGCGCCGCGTGTTCCCGTGCCACGCACTGGCCGTGCAGGAGCTGCAGAGCCCTGAGTCCAGGTGAGTGCATTGACCCCCCCACCCCACACTGATGAACCCCAATCCCACTCCAACCCCGCTACCTTGCACTGACCCCTGACCCTGCTCTGACCTCAAGCCCTGTACTGACCCCCACATCCTGCACTGACTCCCTCCGGCCCGCAGCCGCTCGACCGTGCTAGTGTGCCTGGATGCAGCGGGGCAACCCGAGCTGCAGCACGAGCCCGGCGACCACGTGGGCATCTTCCCAGCCAACCGTGCCGACCTGGTGCAGGAGCTGCTGGACCGCGTCGAGGACCCGCCGCCTGCTGACGATGCCGTGGTGGTCGAGGCGCTGGAGACGCAGCCTGGTACGCCGGGTCAGCCTGGCTTGGGGTCCTGCACAGGGCCGCGGGGGGTGACCTGGGGGAGGAGGAGCCCCAGCACCAGTGCTCCCATGGGAGTGCCCTGTGGGGTCCATGTGCCAAGGCCTGGCACCCACTGACGGCTGCGTCCTCAGGCGGGCGCGCGGGCCCGGTGATGCGCTGGGTGCAGCAGAGCCGGCTGCCGCCCTGCACGCTGAGCCAGGCACTCACCTTCTACCTGGACATCACGGCGCCGCCCAGCCCGCAGCTGCTGCAGCTCCTCGCCAGCCTGGCTGAGGACAGCACCGAGCGTGACCAGCTCCAGCAGCTCAGCCAGGTGTGCGCCAGGGCTGGGTGCATGGGCGGGCGGGTCTGGGGTCCCGAGGCCAATCCAGCCCATGTGCGGGGAAGAGAGGCTGGGCCCAGGGCCCACCCTGGAGGTGCGTGGGGGTCCCAGTGCCTCCCGTTAGCAAGGGGTGGAGGAGGGTCCCGATGCCCACCCCAGAAGGGTGCGGCTGGTGCTGGAGCGATGCGGCCTGCATGCAGGATGCGCGACGCTACGAGGAGTGGAAGTGGTGGCACTGCCCGACGCTGCCGCAGGTGCTGGCCGAGTTCCCGTCCGTGGCGCTGCCGGCCACGCTCCTGCTCTCGCAGCTGCCCCTGCTGCAGCCGCGCTACTACTCGGTCAGCTCCGCGCTCGCTGCCGCACCTGGCCAGCTGCACCTCACCGTGGCCGTCGTCACCTACTGCACCGAGGGTGAGCGAACCGGTGGGGGCTGCGGGGGCCAGGGCGCAGCAGGGGTGCCCTGGGAGCTCCGGGGGTCCTGGGGCAGGCGGAGACCAGGGGCCTGGCAGGGGTCCACGTGCTGCCCCCTCTCCCTGCAGATGGGAGCGGGCCGCTGCACTACGGCGTCTGTTCCACGTGGCTCGCGCAGCTGCAGCCGGGGGACCTGGTGCCAGCCTTCATCCGCAGGTGAAGGCGGGGGCATGTACCCCCTCTGCTCCCAGCATGCACCGCTCAGCCCCATCCCCTCTCCAGCTCCCAGCATGCACCATTCAGCCCCTTCCCCTGGTGCTACAGCCCCCAGCACACACTGCTTAGCCCCTTCCCCTGGGGATTATGCCCCCAGCATGCACCACTCAGCTTCCTCACCTCTATAGCTCCCAGCATGCACTGTTCACCCCTCTTACCTTGGTAGCTGCAGCTCCCAGCATGCACCACTCAGTCCCTGTCCTGGGGTCTCATGCAGTTTGTGGCTATGTCTCCCAGAGACCCCAACGTCCTGCTCCCCCCCACTGCACCCACCACAGCCCCTGCAGGAGTGGGGCCCTGCCATACATACCCGCCGGAGGCCCCGGGTTGGGGGGTCCTGCTCCCCCCCCAGTACCCTCCACTCCATCCAGCCTCTCAGGCCTGGGGCAAAGCAGGGCCCCTCTCCCACCCGAGGCCCCCTGCCTGGGGCCGTGACCCCGTCCCTCTGCCTCCGCGCAGGGCCCCATCCTTCCACCTGCCGCCGGAGCCCAGCGCCCCGTGCATCCTGGTGGGACCCGGCACCGGCATTGCCCCGTTCCGCAGCTTCTGGCAGCAGCGGTTGCATGACCTGGAAACACAAAGTGAGCAGGGCAGAGTTCGGGCAGGGCCAAGGCCAAGGGCGGGGGGCAGTTCTGGGCCCTGCTCACCTGCCCTGGGACCCACAGGGCTGCCGCTGGGTGAGATGACACTGGTGTTCGGCTGCCGCCACTCACGCCTGGACCACATCTACAAGGAGGAGGTGCTGGAAGCGCTGCAGCGGGGCGCGCTCACCCGTGTCCTCACTGCCTTCTCCCGGGACCCCGACATGCCCAAGGTACTGGGGCTGGGCTGCCTGCACTGGAGCGTGTGCATGGGGCGGAGGGCTGTGCCACGGGTCCGTGACCTCCCTCCTGTCCCCCCCCCCCCCA